TGGGTCATATATGGGGCAGTTGTTTGAAACCGTGTCTGCACATTCAGAGAGAAACAGAGGCTGCTACATGAATTGAAAATAGAGGCTGCACATATTGAAAAACAAGGGTTCTTTTAAAAATGACCAAGTCAAAGGCCCATAATTTATAATTGACTTTTCGTTCATTGTATATTTTAAAATTGGCCTATTGGAGTTCAAAACACAAAAATGCCCTTAAGTGAATAAAACAATTACAAAATATGATTTTATTAAAAAAAAAAAATACTACCCTTTTAGTTAACAAATAAAATCAAACACTCTCTAACAACCGAAATGGTCTGTTAACTGACCATTAACAGACCATTTTCGTCTGTTTTGGTTGTTGCGTTTTGCGTCTGTTTCAACATTTTTATCATAACTTTTTCTCCAGCTATTCGATTAAGGTGATTAAAAATACGTTGGAAAGATAACTCAAATGGCTACAACTTTACCAGAAATAGCTTGTTTTCAATTCGAACGTTTACTGGTCCAAAAATGGATCTCAATCTTCAACTAAAAATTTTGATATCCTTGTGCGGTTGAAAATTGATTTGTTTTCACTCCTTTTGATCTTTAGTTGTTTTCATTTGACCCCTAACATTCTCAAATCTTCATCGTGAGTTTCGACATAACTTTTGAATATTTGTACTTTAGCACCCAAACTTTGGATCTTGCCATTTTCACCAATTTTTGTTTCTTTCTTTCAACTTCACTTTCATTCATCGAGTTTCACCTAATAACACATTATATAATAAATTAGACTATAATTACATTAAAAGAATTACGAAATGTCAATATTTTAGAGCTCGGATATGTGTATAAACAAGTCAAAAAGTCGATTGTTTTTGTTTTTAAGAAGTTTCTATTCCCACCGTAAACCGAATTTTTGAATGAATGTTTACAAATTCTGTTTTGTTGTGCAAATAAATGAATATAGCTGATGATAATGCAAATGATTTTTGGAATATAGTTGAAATAACTCGCTATGATGACCTTAATATTCCCGAGACAATTGTTTTTCATCGTGACATATCTGTGACGTACAGATTTCAATCGGTATTTTAGGACAGCAAGAATGTAAAATAAAAAATCTAAATATTATTTAATTAAAATTGAAAAAATAAATATTTGTTTACAATGAATATTTAATTAAAGAATTTTAAATTAAAAAAATTAAAGGAAAAAATAGAATTTGCTAATTCGTCAAAAAATAATATTAAAATTCAAACAAAAGGAAATTATTAAAATTAAATAATATTTGATTATATAGATAAAAATTCAAACAAAAGGAAATTATTAAAATTAAATAAACAATATAAATATTATTTAATTAAATTTTTTAAGATTTGTTTACAATGAATATTTAATTAAGAATTTTAAATTAAAAAAATTAAAAGGAAAAAAAAATAGAATTTGCTAATTCGTAAAAAAAAATAATATTTCATTTTAGAATTAATATTAATATTTGTTTACAATGAATATTTAATTAAAGAATTTAAAATTTAAAATCAAAAGAAATAAATATTTAATTTTCTTAATTATCAATTTGAAATGAATTATTTAATTATACATATAAAAAACTAAAACAGTAAAATATGAAATTTAAGTAAACAATATAAATATTATTTAATTAAATTTTAAAATTAATTTACAAAGAATATTTAATTAAAGAAAAAAAATTACAAATAATATTTAATTAAAGAATATAAATATTATTTAATAAAATTGAAAAAATTAAAGATTTATTTTTAATGAATATTTAATTAAATAAATTCAAATTAAAAAAATTAAAAGGAAAAA